ATTCGCAAGCAAGGATTAATCGCATCTGGATAAGTAGGTTTCTCTTTGAACTTTCCGTAGTGAACTTATGTCGGATATACTCGGTCTATTGGTAGATTTGATATCTTTGAATCGTCGAGCTTTGGTGTATACCTAGACAACCATAAGTCACACAACCAACCCTTAACCATCTTTGGTTCTCATTGTTGTGCTTGTTTCAGCATTAACACCGCCTGGTTTTATAAGTGCGTAGAGAACTGGCCTTACAAAATTCTCCTTGAAGCGACTAACACTTCACACTTACATAGGTGATTCCTAAACGTGTCATCCCATAGATACATTATTTGATATACCCCGCATCAAATTTAGAAATCATTAAAAGCCTTAATGCTTTATCCTTGGTACTAAACATTGTCTCATCACGAGAATGGACCAAAATTTTAGTTGACAATGTTCAACCGTCATTAATGACTTTGTATGATCTCCTTGAACCTAGATCTTGGGATCTCCAATCTTCTAGGTAGAGTTACCGCCACAATGATTGTTCTCGGCCATAGTCACATTCCCCTCGATGATTTCTCAACTACCTCTCTAGTTGGGCCTTTTGTAAGTGGATCCGACACATTATCACTTGACTTTACATAGTCAATCGTGATAATTCCTGTATAGAGTAGTTTCCTAACGGTTTTATGTCTTCATCGTATATGACGAGATTTACCATTATACATAACGCTCCCAGCCCTTCCAATTGCCTCTTGACTATCACAATGTATGCATATTGGTGCCAACTGGTTGAGCCAAAATAGAATGTCTTCTAAGAAATTCCGAAGCCATTCAGCGTCTTAGCTTTATCTAAGGCTATGAACTCAGCCTCAATTGTAGAGCGGGCAATACAAGTTTGTTTGGACGACTTCCAAGATACTGCTCCTCCACCAATAGTGAATACATATCCACTAGTGGACTTAGAATCAGTTGAACTGGTGATCCAATTTGAATCACAGTATCCCTCAATCACCGCAGGATATTTATTGTAGTGTAAAGCAAAGTCCTGGGTATGTTCTAAATATCCCAAAACTCGTTTCATTGTCATACAATGAGATTGACCTGGATTGCTCGTGTATCGACTCAATTTACTTATAGCACAAGCTATATCTGGTCGTGTACAATTCATGATATACCTTAAGCATCCCAACACACGAGCATAATCCAATTGTCATATGCTTTGGCCTTTGTTCTTTACTAATGCAAGATTCACATCAATTGGAGTCTTTGCAACTTTGAACCCTAAGTGCTTGAATTTTTCAAGTACTGTCTTAATATAATGAGATTGTGACAATGCCAGACCTTGAGGAGTCTTATGGATATTAATCCGCAGAATTAAATCAGCAACTCCCAAGTCCTTCATATCAAACTTGCTAGTTAGCATACGCTTAGCCGCATTTATGTTGGTAATGTCATTACTCATTATCAGCATATCATCCACATATAAGCAAACAATGACTATGTGATTTGGAACATTTTTATTGTACATACATTTATCACATTCATTTAAAAAACCATTTGACAACAATGTTTGGTCAAATTTAGCATGCCATTGTTTGGGTGCTTGTTTTATTCCGTAAAGGAACTTAACAAGTCTACATACCTTCTTTTCTTTACCTGGAACCACAAACCCTTCAAGTTGTTCCATGTAGATTTCTTCCTCCAAATCTCCATTTAAGAAGTCCGTCTTAACATCCATTTGATGAATATCAAGATCATAAACTGCAGTTAATGCTACTAACATTCGTATGGACGTAATTCTTGTAACTGGAGAGTATGTGTCAAAGTATTCAAGACCTTCTCATTGTCTATACCTTTTGACTACAAGTCTTGTCTTAAATTTATCAATAGTGCCATCATCTTTCATTTTCCTCTTAAAAATCCATTTAGAACCCAAAGGTTTATTTTCAGGAGAAAGATCAACCAATTCCCGTGTATGGTTGTTCAATATGGATTCTATTTCACTATTGACTGCCTCTTTCCAAAACAATGACTTCGAAGAAGACATAGCTTCTTTAAATGTTCGAGGCTCATTTTCCAATAAGAAAGTCACAAAATTTGGTCCAAATGAAGTAAACGTTCTTTGACGTTTACTACATCTTAGATCCTCTTGATTAAATGTACTTTCTTTTGTTTCTTCCCGAGGTCGTTTAAATACTTCACCAATCGACTCACATTCCTTTTTATACGGATATATATTTTCAAAGAACTCCGCATTATCTTATTCTATAACCGTATTATTATGAATGTCGGGATTTTCTGATTTATGAACCAGAAATCGATATGCTTTATAATTGGTCGCATATCCTATGAAAACACAACCAACGGTTTTCGGTCCTATTTTTACCCTTTTGGGTATAGGAACTTGCACTTTTGCCAAATACCCCCACACTTTAAAATAATTCAAGTTGGGCTTCCTTCCTTTACATTTTTCATATGGAATGGATAGTGTTTTGCTATGGGGTACTCGATTTAGTATCCGGTTAGCCGTAAGAACGGCTTCCCCCCACAAGTTCTGTGGCAAACCAGAACTTATCAATCAATGCATTCATCATCTCCTTTAATGAACGATTCTTTCTTGCAATCTCATTGGATCGGGGCGTGTAAGGGGACGTTGTTTGACTAACAATTCCATATTCTAATCATATTTCTTCAAAAGGAGACTTATATTCACCACCCCTATCACTTTTTATCATTTTGATTTTCTTGTTAAGTTGCGTTTCAACTTTATTTTTGTATTGCTTGAATGCGTCTATTGCGTCATCTTTACTACTAAGTAAGTAAACATAGCAACACCGAGTACCGTCGTAAATAAATTATGACATACTTCTTTCCATCGCGAGATAGTATTGACTTCATATCACAAATATCTGTGTGAATTAAGTCTAAAGGATTTGAAGTCCTTTCAACTGACTTATAAGGATGTTTAACATACTTAGATTCCACACATATTTGACATTTTGTTTGTCGCATTCAAACTTAGGCAATACTTCCAAGTTAATCATTTTTCGCAAGGTTTTATAATTGACATGACCCAAACGTATATGCCATAAATCATTTGACTCGAGTAAGTAAGAAGTAGCTGAAATTTTATTATTATTCGCAACAACCATTGCATTCACCTTGAAAAGGCCCTCAGTGAGGTAACCTTTTCCTACAAACATCTCGTTTTTACTTATTACAACCTTATCAGATACAAAGACACATTTAAACCCGTTCTTAACAAGAAGTCCAGCAGAGACTAAGTTCTTTCTAGTCTCGGGAACATGAAGGACGTTGTTTAGAGTCACCACCTTGCCAGAAGTCATTTTCAGAAATATCTTCCCACATCCTTCAATTTTGGCCGCTGCATAATTTCCCAAAGAAAGCGTCTCTTCGGGTCCAACTGGAGCATATGTAGCAAACGCTTCTCTAACGGCGCAAAAATGGTTATTGGCTCCAAAATCAATCCACCACTCCTTAGGAACAATCTGGTTCCCGTTGTCATTCGTCATTCTGTAAAAGAATGACACAAACAAACGTTAAAATCACGTAGATTTTCATCTCCAATGGAGTAGAAAACCACAAAGGTTTTAGTCTCCAGAAACAGTGAATATAACACAAATACAGAAAATAATTAAATTCCTTAAGCTTGTTAGTAAACTATATTTGTAAAATAATTCTGGAGAAGATAAAATAACATATAAACAGAAATGTAAACGAAACAGAATTTATTCCGAGCCCGCTGAATTCACAGTTTTTTCTTAATGAATTTAATCCCCTCCTAGTACCCAAGGTTGTGGATTATTTCCTCCCAAGATAGAATAAATTACACACTGGTGTAGCGGTACTTCAAACCCCAGTGTTTCAGCGAACACAAAGATCGATAGCAAATCACACTTACTGTTGCTTTCTTTGTAGTTAAAACAACGCAGAAGAAAGGAGGAGAACTCAGAAATTTGTACGGAAAATCTGAGAGAATGGACAGCTATTTATAGCCAATATGTTGAGCTCAAATTGAAGAGGTGCATCTCTTCAGAAGGGTTGTTTACGTAAAGCGGCCATAACTTAAACGGCTATTTACGCAACAATAAACCAGGAAATCATAACGAGGAGGAAACTTAATTTTCCGTTACAAAAACGGAAAACGGAAAATTCATCAATCTGAAGCCGAAGTCGAAGACGGCGCGAGACTTGCCTTCTTCTTAACTCTTTAAGAGCTAGAAGAAGAGCAATTGTATATATACACATCAAAAACCTTTTCCTCATCCAATATGGGACAATGTCCCTTTGTCAAGGAGGAAATCTCAAATATTTCATTTTCCCTCCATTTCCCATTCACCCTCTTTTAAGCTACATTAAGCTTAAAAACCCAACAAATAGTTGTGTTTAATTAGTTGGATGGAGGGTGGATTTGGAAAAAAGGGATGGAAACGTAAAAGAGGGGTAGAAGGAAGAAGATGAATCGGGGTGGGGGTGGCGCTGGTTTTGGGTTGAAGGAAGAAGATGAAGTTGGGGGCGGGGTAAGGAGAGGGAGGGCACTGCTTTGGTTAAAAGTGAGGGGAAAGAGTTTTTTCCTTCTTTAAATTCATTTTCTTTTTTTGTTAATTATATATGTTAAGTTTTTATTATAAATTACTTGTGTCGTTCATTGGTTGGCTCATTTGACACGTCATTGGCAAGTGTAACTCACGTATATAATGTGTTGCACTCGGGTATTTACTTTATCTACTTAATAGACACTTGAAGTGTCTAAATGATAAAAGGGTCAATTGAGGTGTTTGTGTGATCGTTATGGACAACTTAAAGGGGCCGTTTATGTATTTCGCCAAAAGAAAAAGCCATAAAAAATTTAAAACATAAATATGGATTTTATTAGACAGGAAGGAATATTCAGGAAAGTGGAAAATGTCATGGACATCCGTTGTGGAAAGTGAGAAATGCACCAATTTGCACAGGCGCATTTAAATTCATATTTTAAAAATTAAAAATTTAGGAGTATAATTCTTTTTCTTTTTTTGTATAAATAAAGGGAAGTGAGAAATGGAAATGCGCTTGTGCAAATTGGGGACTTTTTTCCCAGTAATTTAAGGTCTTCCTTCTATCTCTGATATTCAGATTACTGTTCGATAGCTTCATATCTATAGAAACCAATTCAAACCCAGCTTTTATCAGAGGCGTTTGAAGCTCAGATATTTCAAATTTTGGACTCCTATTAATTGCTACCAATCAGAGAAAAGAAAAGTTGCAGAACAAGAAAGAGAGAAGTAAAAGCTAGCTAAGAGGCTAAGCACAACATTAATACTCATGAAACCAGTCCCACGGTACTCTTTCCTCTTCTATATGGAATTCAGAAAATAGCATTTATTGAGAAACAATGAACTTCCCACCATCCTCAACTGCTCCCCTTTAATTCCCCTCAATTAATTGTCCTCTCTTAAGTCAAACTCTTCAACTTTTTTTCTTCTTCTTTTACCTCTTCCTTTTTTAATTAGCTATCACTCATTTTCATTTCCTCTTGCAGAAGCTCATGATTGCTCTGTTTAATTCGAACCATGGTTTTTGATGAAACAATTATCAGATTCGTCTTCTCAATTTTATTAGTCTGGTCATCATCATCAGTTGGTGCTGCTAATTCAACTCAGTGTAATCAGTACTGTGGAGCTGGTTCTAATGGCCAGCGTGTTCCTTATCCATTTGGATTCTCAGAGGGTTGTACGATTCGCTTGAATTGTACTCAAAGTGGAGAAATTAGAATTGGAGAATATCTAATACAAAATGTAACTTCAGATACATTAATGGTCAACTTTCCAGTAAATTGCAGCCGTCCGATTGAGGATCTTAAGCAATTTAGCGGAACCAATTACGGTATGACTTGGAGAAACGGGCTGCTTCTACAGAATTGTACAGTCCCGAAGAGCGAGTGTACCATACCGTCAGACCTTTTAAGCGCGCGTTTGAACATACCGTCATGTGATTCGAAGAATGAGAATGTGAGTTGTTATTCAGAGGCGAGTGCTGATTATTTGGATTACTGGAAACTGAAGAATATAGGATGTGGACTTGTGGTCTCGTCTATATTGGTTGGTATGGATAATAATACAAAGAAGAGCTCTTCGATGTACTTAGAGTTTCAGACGATTGAATTAGAGTGGGGATTGGAAGGAGATTGTGCATGTGATGAACATGCGAATTGTACAAAAAAAATTCTTCCGGGGAACAGAAACGGTTTCCAGTGCCGGTGTAAAGATGGTTTCGTAGGTGATGGTTTCAGGGACGGTGATGGCTGCCGGAAAGGTTAGTTCGACTTTTCTGTTTTCTTTTTAAATTATTCTTTTTTCTTTCTGTTTTTGAACGTTAAAATAATTATCTGCAACATTATTTGCTCTCTATCATTGGCGGATCCAAATTAATTTTATCGCTTCGGATTCAGAATTTTATCAATCCTATAACTCATTTGATTTATTAAGCTTCAAATTAATTATTTGTAGTTATTTAATAAATTTTGAATACATATAAGGTACAAGTCAAAATTATTGGGTTTGGATGAACTCATATCCTTACTCTTGATAATGTTGAATTATGTGTACAATCTAATTTAAATGTTAGAAATAGGACACGTTTATTTACTATGTACAGGTAGATGCAAATTCAAATTTTAAAGCAGATGGGTTCAATATTTAAGTTCTTCGATCTTACCAATGACGAAGTTATTATAGCTTTTGAAATTAATTGTAAGTTTAAAATTCAATACTTGTTAGAATTTTAATAATTTTTTCATATAATATATTTGCACGACGTATTAAAAGTACTTCAGTTGAACCCAATAATTTAGACTCCATCCGCCTTGACGTATAGGTTTGATCTCCTAGAGCAATTACTTGGAAGTATATCATTAATGGATAATGCTGATAGTCGAATTCAAAATGTCTACTTATTTTGGTATATGGCAATTCAATAGAAAACAATGCTTATCAAATTACGGGTAAAATTCAAAGTTAATTGCTAGATGGCCTAATTGTTGTTTGACTATGGGCAAGTTGTGACGTGAGAGATGATGAGACCAGTAGTTTTTTATATTTGGTTTGACCAGTAGAGACACGCCAAATAAGAAAAGCTGTTGATTTCAATGGAGGTATAGTATGGGCATTTATTAGTGAATCATGAGTTTACAGGAATTGACTATGATTAAACAATGATTATTTTAGTGTGATTGAGTTTATTAGGAAATCCAAATATTTCCACAAGTTGCGTTTAAGAATACTAGTGCATATGCGGCTGGTGTAGTCAATAAATCCTTTTCTACATTTTGATTTTGTTGAATTTGCGTTCTAAGCTGTCGAGTGTTGAAATTTCTCCTGAGTGACTTCCACATGTGGGACTTGGTCTCACTTACTTTTCCCCCACCAGGTTCCTACCTTCAGCTGCCAGCATTTCCGTGTATTTGGCTTTTAGGTATTACTCACAATTCCCTCTACTTTCCTCTCTTCTTCCTACCATGTGGATCCGGGACAAATATATTACTCATTCAATCCTATTTTACGCAAAAATATTTGATTCGATACAAAGTTTAAAAAAGAAATAGATAATTTTTTAAAATATGTGATCTCAAACATGTTATGATGTTTTTGTGATTATAAAATTTCGTATCATTAAGTGTAAAATTGAGATTCTAAAATTAGATTGTTTCCACAATATCTCTAGTCTTTTTGGAACATACTAAAGAAAGGGTCTCATTTATGGGACGGAGCGAGTATTAGGACAATTGAGTGCCATAGTATTCATTGCCCTTCACTTAAAACCAAATAGTATAAAGTTAAGTAATATTTGCAAAATGTTTCATGTTTATACTTAGTTTTTAACTTTGATATAGAGTAGTTGTGATGCGGTGATACTTTACTATCCTCATTCCCCATTTATTTTAAATTATAGATCCCCCTCTAACATAGATCCTAGCCATCTATGGTCTTTCCTTAATAAGATGAAAAGGGATCTAATGAAGTCTTTATGAGACTGCCTATACAAAGTGGTATTGTAACTTTGTACTCCCTCTGGTTCACAATAAGTGTTCAATTTGCTTTTAGCACTCCTATTAAGAAAATATTAAATTCTATACAAAAATACCTACTATGACTAAACTACCCCTAATCAAACATTTAATGTGAGGAGTAAGAAAACTTTTTAGGGATATGTACATGGGGTTATTTTGTAAAAACAAATTGAATTCTTTCTTGATTACATAACTAGACACTTATTTTGAACCAAAATGAAAAACCAAATTGGACACTTATTGTGAACCGGAGGGAGTATAGTTCAAATCAAAATGACAAGTTTGTGCTCGATGAGCTTAAATTATGTAATTTAGTGATATTGAGCCCTCTATCTCCACTCAAAGGAATTTGCTTGTCTTGAGGAGTTAGTTGCTTCTGTTACACAGTTGCATACATAGCAGAAAGGTGATTTCTTGGATCTTATATGACACGAACAAAGATCTGACGGAAAAAAAGGAAATAAATAAGCATTTAACTGATTTGTTTTGGCCTTGTCTGACTCCAAGATCGGTGAATGTGATTGCTGACAAGGTCAGAATTATTCAACACCAAGATTGTGATTGGATAATCCCCAGAGTCAACAGCTTCAATGATTCTGTTGTATTTTAAATTAATTTTACGGAGGAGCACATGGTAACTGGATGTCTACAAGTTTGAACGGGTGAAAGTCAGAGGATCAAGGGGACCTGGATGGTTGAATAATTTCATATTTTATTGTTGAGTAAACATTATAGTAACAGGGACTTGAATCAATGCCAAGTCTAAAAGTAAACCTCTCTAAATCAACTGCAGGATTTTTCTTTTTTTTTTTTTTGTACAGAATTGGCACGTGGATAATGGAGGAAGGAACAATAGAAGAAGGCCGGACCTTCGATTGACTAGGCACCAACCTTGGTGCTTTCCCAAATTGGTTAATGTGTAAGGACAGGCAATCCGGTGCACAAGGCATCCCGCGTTCACGCAGGGACTGGGGCCGCACCCCAAAGAGTGCGATGTAGACAGCCTAACCTAATACAAGCATTAGTGGCTGCTTCGATGGCTCGAACCCCGGACCTATAGGTCATAAGGAGATAACTTTACCGTTGCTCCAAGGCTTCAAATTGGTTAATGTGTAATGACATAATTCAATTGTTAAGACTCTAATACAAGTTTGCCATAGTGTAATTGATAGAGTTTAGATAAAGAGCAGGTTAGGTGATCCCCTTCCTACCTGTGTGAGAGACAGTTCATTGTTATGCCAGTCTAATTTAGACAAGTTAGTACTTCGCTTGAATCAAGCATAATTTGAAGGAATGAAGTTGGAACTGATACATTTACCAGTTAATTCAATGTCCAGGAAACTGTCTTAAAAGAACATCTTGACTTGGAGATTTAAACCTTAACTGAGCAGTTCTTGTGAGATAACACGCTTTTGGAAAATTGGTTTCATTTGTTGATCATGTACTTTATTCATAACTGGGAGGGCATACATTTTCTAAGATACTTTAGCTATATATTCAATAAAATAGAAATAAATTTTTCCCCCACCCTCCACCCTAATTTTTCAGTATGTCATCCTTTACTAACTTCCTCTTTATGTTTGTGTCTCCATCAGTTTCTAAATGCAATCCTTCAAAATACCTCTCTGGTCGATGTGGTGGAACTACAAGAATTGGTGTGCTCATTGGAGGTAACTTTTTTCGCTTAACTTCTCCAGAAAATGTTGCTAGTAAATAGCTACTTTGATTTTTCGCTCAATTCCCTGTGCTGTGTGAACCATTACTTCTCCAGTCGTTTAATGCACTAGTGTTCAGTTTAGCATCTCTTGCTGAATCATTTCCTGTTCCTCCTGCTTCATTTTGGCAACACCTCTCAATTGCCAAATGTGCACTCTTTAGTTTTCTTTAAATGAGCTTGATAGCCAGCACATATTGGTTTTGACCTTATTATGTAAGAGATTTGATCTTGCGAAATTGCAAAAGAGTTGCTGAACTTGCTGATCAGTAAACTTCCAAGCTTGCTATACTTTTACGACCTCTTGATTTAATTTTATTGGATTCAATGTAAACGGTGAGTTTGATCTGTTCCTGGTTTAATGAAATTGTCGATCACTTACAGGGATTATTGCTGGAGCTGGTTTAATGGCTGCTTTGGCTATTCTCTGCTACTGCATTCGAAGACGTTCTGCATCTCTGAAGAAAAGAATGAGCGCAAAGCGCCTTCTTTCTGAAGCTGCAGGTAGCTCCAGTGTTCCTATGTTCCAATACAAAGAAATTGAGAAAGCAACAAACAGTTTCTCTGAGAAACAGAGGCTGGGCATAGGTGCTTATGGCACAGTTTATGCTGGAAAGCTCCACAGTGATGAATGGGTTGCAATTAAGAAACTAAGACATCGAGATCCAGATGGCGTTGAACAAGTGATGAATGAGATTAAGCTTTTGTCCTCTGTAAGCCATCCAAATCTAGTCCGCCTCTTAGGCTGTTGTATTGAAAATGGTGAACAGATTCTTGTTTATGAATTCATGCCCAACGGAACTCTAGCTCAGCATCTACAGAGAGAAAGGGGTTCAGGACTTCCATGGACAATACGTCTCACTATCGCCACAGAAACTGCTCAAGCGATAGCTCACCTTCACTCAGCAATGAATCCACCAATATACCACAGGGATATCAAATCTAGTAACATACTCTTAGATTACAACTTCAACTCAAAGGTTGCAGATTTTGGCCTTTCCAGATTTGGCATGATGGATGATTCCCATATCTCTACAGCACCACAAGGCACACCAGGTTATGTGGATCCTCAGTACCATCAGAATTACCATCTTTCCGACAAGAGTGACGTCTACAGCTTTGGAGTGGTTCTTATAGAAATCATTACAGCACTGAAGGTGGTTGATTTTTCTAGACCACACAGTGAGATTAACTTGGCTGCACTTGCAATCGACAGAATTGGGAAAGGTCGTGTGGATGAGATAATCGATCCATTTCTTGAGCCACACAGGGATGCATGGACTCTATCATCAGTTCATAGAGTTGCAGAGCTAGCTTTCAGATGCCTCGCATTTCATAGGGATATGAGGCCTTCAATGATAGAAGTGGCAGATGAACTAGAACAGATCAGGCTCAGCAGTTGGACATCATTGGAGGACAATATATGTATGACATCATCAGTGAATTCCTCTTGTTCATCTCCGCGTAGTATGAGCGAGACATCTTTTCGTAGTACAACAACTAAGAAAGGAGGAGTTGGGAGTAGGAGGTTGATTCTTCCACAGAAGATAGGGAATGCACTGTCAACCATGGAGGAAATAAAGGATAGTTCCCCTGTTTCAGTGCAGGATCCTTGGTTAAGCGAAGAGAGTCCCCCTTCAACAAACAGACTATTGGGTAGTGCTGGTCGATGATGACTTGAAAAGAAAGTCTGCTTTAGGTAGAAAACTGAGGTGATCACCTGTAATCTATTACAACCAGTTTACCACCTTTTCTTGTCTTATAATATAGTGAACTAATACCAAAGAGTAATACAACAGTCTTCTTTGTCATTACATGCTCGAAACTACTAGTAGCTTTTTTCTTGCCTCTGCAGCTTCATACACAAAAGCAATGTGAAATAGTGATTGGACAAGTGCCAACAACTACGAGAAAGATCAGTGACTAAGCGATCCGAATTCGTATTGCAGTGCCCGAATTTGAGTATTCCTTATATATCTGTGCATTCCTTATTTTCTGTTAATTTATGGGGCCGGGGGGAGGGGGGGGGGATTGGACAGATTTTCCTTTTAGAAGTTGAACCCCGTGTAGAAACCAAAAGTCTATCTAGCTACCTATCGCACGATTTGCTTCAGCAATCAGCATTAGAGAATGTATCAGAAGTTTCAAATACTCCTAACAAATTGGTACAGATGAGATTGCATTCTTTTCCTTCCCATCCTTCATGGGAAAGGAGCTTTTCTACAATGACGACAAACCCAATAGAATCACATAAGTGGGGTAACGCAAATATGTCCCTATCTTGAGAAGGTAGAGAGCCGGTAGACCTTCGCCTCAGGAAAAGGAACTTCCTAAAAAAGTTTGACGACTATCTCGATTTCCTCTTTGAATTCAATAAGAACACTCTTTGCATCAATTGCATCATCTTCAAGACTTCTAGTACACCGGATATGTTAAATAAGTCTACATATAATAAAATTATAAGTGACATTATAAATCGGAATATATGTATCAGAAATGCCACCCTTTGCATTTAGCAAAGCACAATCAAGTTTGCAAATAACAGTAACAAAAATGAAATATTACATGAAAAGCAAGAATCTTTTCAAGATTTTTGAGCTTCAGGTCCTAAAATACCATTAACAACAGTTGAGGCCACCAAAACTCCAACTAATTGAGCACCAGCCACTGCTCCAGCTTGAGCCAGCCCTCCAAAACTCACTGAGCTCTCGATCTTCTCCTCCGCAGCTTCTATCCCCTTCTCAGCCGTCACCAATCCTTTCTCCGCCGCTTCAATTCCCTTATCTGCCGCCTCGAATCCTTCCTTCACTAACACTTCTGCTTCCTCCTCGGCTTTCTTCAGCTTCTTTCTCAGTCCGAAGAGGCCAATGTCCTCTGCCTTTGACGGCATTTCCAGCGCTTTCAGTGCCGTTGTCGCCGTCAGCAAAGATATTAACTGCCGACGACCGGGGAGAGCTACCGGCGCCTGTTTAATAGGAGTTGTGTTTGCATCTAGCACACAACGAATTGGGAATGTCCGTACGGCAATTGAGCTAGTGGTGAAAGCCATAGCTTTGCTCTTTCTCTGCAATCAAACTGAGGCTAGCAAAGCTCCCTCAATACCACAGCGAAGTGTGTGGTTCTGATATTTTTGAACGGACAGAAGGACATATAAATAAATATATACTCGGACTTGAAAAGGATTTTTTTTTTTTTCTTTTCCGAAAATTTTCCTTTTCCTCTTTTCTGTTTTTTTATTTTTTCAATATAAATTTTCTAGAGTGATGTGTTAAAAATAGTTAAGACTTTTGGTATATTGGTACCATACTTAAATGATGCATTAAACGACAGCTTCAATCCTTCCGAAAAATATTATTGACTCGTGAATAATGAGGAACAGAGGTATAGATGAAGAAATTATAGTAGGATTGAAATTGTTTAACTAATTAAAGGTTAGACAACACTGAAAATATAGTTACTTACACCAATTTATGTATCAAACCAACAAATGAATGACATGTTTTTATAAAATAAATTTAATTTAACAAATTTCAATCTACATATTTTTATGTCAATCTATTATTTAATCACGATAAACTAACATTAGCTGTTTTTACTCGTAAAATGGTACAATTGAATTGATACGTGGTTTAAAGACAAATAAATTAATTTGATCCTGAAATAATAGATGATAAAAATATAATCAGCCTTGAGGTGGAGATAAAATAGCAAAAATATTAATTCCGGGAGCAGGACTTCCGGACACAACAACAACGATATTAAAAACAAGAAGATAAAATTATATTAAGCTTTGAATAGAGTGTAGCGTATGTTTTCCAGAAAATTCGTGTCATTTACAATGATAATAGAGCTCAATATTTATAGTTGCATCTAGGGAACAAGGTCCTAGGATCAAACCCCTCTTTAATGTCAATTATGAGGGTCATTGAAGAATGTGTAACGGCGGGCAGTGAATGCCATATTTCTTGTAACGGGAAGTGTACTTAATGCTATAGAATATTCCTCATTAAATGCTACCGGATGGCAGGCATTTATTTCATCTTTATGAGTATCGTTCTCTCTGGTAACAGACGGGATCGTTGCCTTCGGTTTCAGGTATCTTCTGTCTTCGGCTCCACGTGTCACTTCCTCATGCGATCATTTAATATAAACATATTTTACCCTACACAGATAGTCCCCTGCTTTCTGGTGGCATAACTTTGTGTCACCGGGAAGTTGGTAGAAACATCTTCTTTGGCGGGAAATTCATTGACCTCCTCTGAAGTTTCTGACGGTTGATTAGACGCATGTCTCTTCACATTTAGTGCCCCCAACACGCATCATCCCACGATTTAGCATCACTTTTACCAGTTATCAAGGTAATTATGGCCACGAGTTTAGTCGCATATACCTTTACTTATACGTATCAACCTCCTTCATTTACACTTCATAATACTCTAAATTTTCTCAAACTTCTTTACTCAACTCATACTTTGTTTTTAACCTTTCTTTAGCTTTCTTCTTTGAGAAAAAATCCTTCTTCTAATAAAAAATGGCCTCTTCTTCCAGAAACCTTAGTTCTTCAAAGAACAAAGGTAAAGTTGATGATGATGCTCCCCCTACGGTGAGTACCATCATCCCAAAGAATCTTATTACTACCAAAGATTTTGAAGAGAAGTATCCTTCTGCTCACCCTCGTATGTGGGTTGTTAGCGTATACCCTACTTCTATCCGTCCTTCCAATATTCCTCTTGTGAAGGAAGACTGACACTGTCAAGATTTGGATATTATCGCTCCCGACCTGGCGTAGCGGATAACTTTACCCAAGACGGGTTTTACATATTTTTACATGTATCCCTTCACTTTGGGAGTGTTTTCTTTGAGTAGGGAGCTTGACTCCGTCATTGTGGAGTTCTGCCTCCGCTATCAGGTGTGCTTGGCACAGGTAAGTCCTTCCGTGTAGAGGACAATCACTTGTCTTCTGCGCCTATGTCAGGAGACAGGAGAAGAGCTATCCCTAGCTCGAGTGATGAACCTCTATTCCCCCAAAATCTTCCGCGAGGGAATGATAAATTTCATCAATCATGGCCACCATGCCCTGCTATCCAGCATGGACGATGACAACGATCGTGGGTGGATGGAACAGTTCGTTTTAGTCGCCACCAGTGATATCATCCTGGCCAGGACTCCATCTTTTCCGAAACTTTGGAACTGCACTCGTAAGTCTATCGTTTGTTTCTTTTTCTGTATGGATCATTCCACATTATTACTGACCCTTCTTCTTTTACCCATTTCAGCGACTCGGTGGGTTCCACCTAGGGTTGAGGGCTTTGACCAATGGGTCTAGAAAATTTTAGACGTTACTACGCCCGAAACCCGTACGTGGAAAGAATTATCACTGAAATATGGGCGGAAGGCCAAGAATCGTGGTAAGCCGAACTTATTTGTTTTTACCTTTTCATATAAGGAAGTTATTTGACTCTTTTCTCCTGTTGAATTCAAGTCTACCCCAAGGCTCAGTTGTCATCTCCGATGAGGACGTTTGGCTAATCCTATTGATGCGGCGAGGCTGTTGCAGGAGACTTTTACATAGACAGGTGTCTCCGGACCTACTTCTGGTGCGAGTGCTTCTTCTCGGAATCCCCGGCTGGAGAACAAACAACCAAAAAGAAGACGTTCCTCCGTGGCGGGGGAAAAAATAAGAGGGCAAAGAATGTCGTTCCCGAGTCATCTCCGAAAGTTGTGGTAACGAGCACCCCGCCCGGGCTGGCCATAGACACCATAATGATTGACGATGATGGGAAGCCAGCGAGGAGGGGGCTTCTCTACATAGAAGACGATGACCTTCCTAAACTCAACAGACTTCTCAATCTGTTGAGTTAGTTACACCAACCAAGGATGATACCTCAGCGCTTTGGGGGAGTTAGAGATGGTGAAAAATGCCAACTCCCATTTCCGGATCCCAGTCGTTGCGCCCAGTGCCGTGAGGCTGAGTATCGGGTCCCTGCCATCTTCGATTGACGAGCAACCAACACCTAGCATTGCGCTTGCCGCAGCCACTTCTCATTTTTCAACGCTATCAGCTTCATCTGCTTCTTCACCAACTCTTCCACCAGCAACTGCTACATCATCTCCACCGGCCGCACCTGTCCGATAAGAGGATGTTCCTCTCCCTCAATCCCCAATTCATGGGAACTTGGGTCAAAATTACAATGCCCCCTCAGAAGATCCGCAAAGGAGGAGGAGGAGTGTTATTCTCTCGGTCTCTACCGTATGCAATCTGTTGTCCCGGCTGGTAGAACTTGCTAACCATCTGAGGCCTTTGGCTTCAAAAAAACATTGGGAAAAGATACAAGCTCTCTCGGGAGAGTGCTTGTTGAACAATGTTATTCACAATGCGGCATCGGTATATTCTTCACTTCCTTCGTTATCTCTTCTATCTTTGATTTAATAGTATTATGAGTTTGCCTTTTTTGTTTTGCAGGCCAATTTCCCTTCTTGAGTTTGCCTTTTTTGTTTTGCAGGCCAATTTCCCTTCCTCTAAGGGCCTCCAAAGGTTGATTCGAAATAAGGAGGAACTTACCTCCGAGCGGGATCAACTTTTGGCCGAGCGGGAACACACTGTTGCTCGCCTCTCAGAACTGGAAGCCAAAACTGCTGAGGCTGTTGTGTTGGAGGCTCGTTTTCAGCAAGCGAGCAAGAAGTAGAGACCCTTAGCCAAGAGATCGCCCCGCTAAGGGTTAAATTTGAAGAGGCTAGGGCCAAATGGGCTGAAGTCCATAGTGTCGTTCTAGCTGCATCCGATCGCGAGGCTGCCTCTACTGAAAGATTAAATAATTTGTAGGAGGCCTTGAACTCCAAAACTGAAGATCTTGCTGCTACCGGGGTGAAATATTCCCAATTGGATGAGAAGTATAAGAGGACCCTTGAGCATAATAGACTTTTCAGCTCTACTGTCTGTGATCTCGATGTTAGCCTTCGGTCCGTTAGATCCGCACGGGAAAATCTTTCTACCGAGGTTAACCAACCTAAAGAAGAACTCAAGCGCCAAGTGGTTTCCCTCATTATTGATAAAATATATGTTATGTATAGAATGAGGAGAAAAACCTTGGAAGAGGCTAAAGCGGGTGTCATTAACTTTGATGCCGAAATCGCTAAAGCCCGTGAGCTGGAGTCAACTGCTAAAAGGGGTCTTCCGGCCAGGCCTGATGCTTCCGATTCTTCTGGTTCCGGTTTCGAATTCTTGGGAACTAAAGAGGGACCAGAAGGCGATGATGCTGAAGGACAAAATGATGAAGGCCAAGACATTGAGCCGGCGACGGATCTACCCACTTCTCCTGGGGGGCGTGGATACTTCTCTCCCTCCAGGTTCTAGCAGCAGCTTAGCTTTTGATTTCTTTTCCCAACTTTTGTACTTATGCCGTTTGGCACGTTCGTTGTAAACTAAAACACCCTTTGCTTAGGTATTGTATGAGTTTTCCTTCCTGCGTACTTTCGTTTAAACATTTATGCAAGTTTAATCTTTGCGTCCTTTTTTGTTTAAGTGTTTTGCGCAAATTTTACTATTTGCATCTGATTATGCAAGTCTTTGGGTGTATTTCCCCCGAAAGCTTTGGATTTTGGGCACAAGTTCTTCCAAAATCAACCCTTTATCATGAGTGTTTCCATAAGAGAGGACCCTCTTATGTTTACGATGCTCTTGAAGAGGACGTCTCCTGTTCATTACGGCACTAGGATTTGAAGTACTTGTTTAACTTTCAAATGACAAAATCAACTCACCGTTCAGACAAGAAATAAGATAGAAATAAAAGGACTTTACTTTATTCCTTCCATTTCCAAAAAGTACATAAGCATCCGTTGTGCTAAACAGAAATTTCCATTTCTTGTGGCTAACTTGTGCAACTTGTATCTACGGGGCTGGCCGCGCAGTCCCTGGTCCTGATGATATAACTATGCTTCAGGGTTTTTTATTCCAGTCGAAGAGGCAGCCGTTCTTGCCGTATCCTCATATCTTTGCCCCAGTGTTCGAATGCGAAGAATGCGAATTGGAACACTCGAAGTTTAACACTTTCGAGGATTCCACTAATGAATTGCTAGATAATCTTCAGTTCGGTAACAAACTTCACTTCTCCTTAGGAATTTGTGTTATCGAGCCAAAGACTATCTAA